GAAAAACAACAATTTCGATACGGCTGAAAAACCACCTCATCCTAGWGCAAAAACATTTTGTCGAAAAACGTAATTTTTTTCAAAATTGACRTGTTTCCATTGAGCAAATTTATTTTCAAAATTCTAATTTGCGCATTTTCATGGTGAATGGAAACACAGCTAGTGAATTAGCAGAAAATGAGGGATTAACTGTTTAAGCTCCATTTGTGGTGCCTGAAGTGACACACATGGGTTCTGTGGTGCACAAACTGAAACCATAGCTTTTCCTGACAGAAAACAACCGTATGATTTAAAAACAACAAGTTTAGTTATTTAATGAGCAGTTTGTGTTTTTAACTCCACCAATAAACCCAGAGTTTGACATGAACCTTATGGATGTCGTGTGTGTGTGAACACTCACCGACAGCAGAGAGAGCCACTGTGGGTTTCCGAGTGTCTCTGTGGAAACACACACATTTACCATGAAACACGTCTGAAAACTCTTCCTGTGATGGACGGACCACGAGAACGTCTGTTTTTCTGTGTGACTCTCTGACCTGGTGTCCCAGATGTACATGTAGGTGTCCACAGAACTGGTGACCAGGAGCTGCGGGTCAAACCAGGACCAGTCCAGATCACTGAGGAGACCAACACAGCATGGTGAGTACAGACCTGCACACCTGCAGACCTGTTTCTGTTTRCTGTTACCTGATGACCCGGGTGTGTCCCTGCAGGGAGGTGTGGGCCTCCCCACAGCCGTCCCTCCACGAGTACAGATCCACGCGCTGGTTGATCTGAGAACACACACATCAGATCAAAACAGCAGCATTCAAACGATCGCTGCAGGAGGACTCGCGCCACATCAACTCTTCTATTATTCAAAGAAAAATGTCAGATTTAAAAAAACGACTTAAAAACAGCAGAACTCACCGAGGCAGCAAAAACATGAGCCTCTGATCTGTGAGGGTTCCACTGGACCGTTCCCAAGTCCCACTTACTGTGATGTCCCATCTTACGRGGCACTTCAGACGGAGCCTCCAGATTCACCATGTACAGGAAGTGACGACTGGAAGACAACAACAACAACAACACCATCATTAACAATAACAACATTAACAACAACAACACCATCAACAACAACACCATCATTAACAACACCAACATTAACAACAACACCATTAACAACAACACCATTAACAACAACACCATTAACAACAACACCATTAACAACAACAACATTAACAACACCAACATTAACAACAACACCATTAACAACAACACC